TTAGCTTTACTCTCGACTTCTTCCCTGCCCATACAAATTTATTAATACCCTTCTGCCATTCTAGCAGGCTTGCATCTTTTTAAAGTATTGGTAACATTTGAAAAAGAAATAAAAATTTAGGTAGAATATTCATTTTCACTGCTGCTATTCTTCTCAGCAAAGTTGTAAAAATGTTTTGTTGTTACTGTTTTCTATGTTATTTTTCTTCCAGGGATATATCCTTTCTGCATGAGGGCTGAATGTCATCCTCTATATCGCTTGCTTGCTATTGGCTGCCATAGTAATGGGGAGGGAGGGGGCTCATGGTATTTGGGAAAGGAATCGTGCTGGTGAATATCTCAAAGAAGGGAGTTTTGTTCTCACCATCTTCTGCGCATGCTGAAGGTCTATGTTTGGGTTTGATCAAGGCCAACTGTCTCTGCATACCAACTGAATGAGGCCACCTGAAGATGCACCCCACATGACACCCTTGGGGGTTGGATATTGGACATTGGGCTGGGGTAATTAGGGGGAGGGTTTGGGGTAACTTTTGATATTACGAGCTTGCACCTTTTTGCCTCAGATCTTGGTTCACTTTCGCTGTTTTCATTTCATATCCAATAAAAGTACCTTTTCTTGGTTGTTGAATGAGGCACGCCTGACAGTTACCTTCCACCAGTACTCATCCCTTCTTGCTTCTGCCGCTGGGAAAGGAATCTCAGCTTTGATGTCTGGAGCTGGCTGCACTCCAGCTGCAATCAGGCTCTCTTCGGATAGTCTGCCCTTTGCCATGGTTGTCTGAGTTTCCTCCAAGCACCCCAGATATCAGGGAGTGATTGGAGAGTCCGGGATTCAGGAAAACCGGTAATCTTGATAGATTTTAAAAAGAGATCTGACTCTCTGTCAGGTTTCCGAAAGATGCCCTAAATAACTTACGAGCCTTGAGCCAAGTTTCAAAAGAAATCCAGTCATTTATTAGGAACAACATCTTGGCAATACCCACGCAGAGTCAAATCTGACCTCAGTTAAATTAGGGCTGAACTTTACCCGTTTCTCCCCTCCCCTCAGTCTGTGTCATAAATCACACTCACCAACGAGGTACTGCAGCAGGTTGTAAAATTACTGTGTTTCCCCGAAAATAAGACAGGGTCTTATTTTATTTTGACCCACGAAATATGGCCTTGGTCTTATTAGCGCGGGGTGTGTGTCTTATTATTTTGGGGATGCAGGAGGCGGCAAGCATGGGACTGCATGTCCTGTCNTTTTGTTTTGTTAATTTTATTTTATTTGTGAGATCTTCATTTTCTATCAGATTCAGTTTATGTTTTTGCAGTTCCATCATATTTTTAATTTTTTTATTTTGTGGACTTTTCTGTAACTCTGCTTCCAGCCTCTTATACTCCTGTTCCAATTTCTTTTGCACTATTCTATTCTATTCTATTCTATTCTGCCTATTCTTCTTTCCTAGATATGTCATTGCAAGTCCTCTGATATAAGCTTTACAAGTATCCCATATGTTCTGTAGTGATGTATCTTCTTTTCTATTTTCCTTGAAAAAATATATCAATTCTTTTTCCATATATTGCTGGAAGTTTTTTCATTCAGTATTTTTGAGTTTAATGTTCATCTCACCCTTTTTCTCTGTCCCTTCCAGGTCATTGTTATTGGATTATGGTCAGCCCAAGTGCTTGTTTCTATGTCAGTCTTGTGTGTTTTAAGTGTTAGTTCTGTTGACATCCACATCATGTCTATTCTTGACCATGACAGGTGTCTATTTGAGTAAAATGTATACTGCCTTTCTTTTGTGTGTCTTATTCTCCAAACATATTGCAGATTTAATTCATCCACCATTGTAAAAAGTACTTTGGGGAGGGTTTTTCTTGGTTTCTTATTCATTTTTGAGGATTTATAGTCTAATCCATTGTTTGGAATTGTACTAAAGTCTCCTAGTATACATACATCTTCATATTCGTACTCTGTTATCTGTCTGTGCAATTTCCTAAAAAATTCTTCTTGATTTTTATTTGGGGCATATATTGCCACTAATAAAGTCTTTTTACAGTTCATTGTTATTTCCACCATCAGTATTCTCCCCTCCTCATCTCCAAATATTTGATTTGTTTGTATTGTCATTTTAATATACTGTGTATTGCTATCCTTCTTTTGCTTTGGTCTGCCAATGCCATGTATAACTTGCCCAATTTTGCATGTTCCAACATTTTTTATGCTGTTTTTAAATATGTACTTCCTGTAAGCATATAATGTCCAATTTTAATTTCTCTAATTTATTAAATACTCTTCTTTTTATTGCCGAATTTATTCCATTTATGTTGATAGAAATTACTTTTATTTCTTCTTCCATCTCTTACTTATATTATAGGTTTAGTTGATCTAGTCGTTCTTATCTCCCTTAGTTCTTTCATCTCCTTTGATCTTGCCCCTTCTCTTAATGCTTTTTCTTCCTGCTCTTTCATTGTCTCTTTTGGATCTTTCTCCTTGACTTCCTGGCATTTAGCTCCTCCCTCTTCTCTCACCCTCTCTTCTTCCTGCAGTCCTATATATTGTTCATAAAATAATTCTGCCTTTTCTAGAGAGTCTAATCTGTGTCTTTGTTCTTGCCAGGTTACCAACATCCCTTCTGGCACAAGCCATCTAAAACACGCCCCCCCCCCTTTTTTTATAATTTTTTTTATTAGTTTTATTACAGAAAACAAAACAAAAAGAAAAGCATCATCTTTCATTACATCTTGTAGAAAGCGTATCCATTGGTCACAAGTACATTNTTTGCATGTAATGAGTCTATCTCATATATTAGTTTCACCTTTTAAGTTGCATTACTGAAATAAATGAACTTTTGCACAATATACTAATTTTTCGACTTTCACCTGTATCTACTACTTGTAGAGTGTTTATAAAATTTACAGTCTGACCCAAAGATGTAAACCATTTTCAGATATAGAAAGAACAGTAGAAATGCAAACAGAAAATGGAGTAGATCTTGGGGGTTGGATTGCATTCAGAGTCAACTACAGTGAAAATAGTTGCTTTCATTGCAAATGAAATTAAAATAGAAAAGTTTAGCAACATAATTGGGCAGAATCTAAAAATATGTCTGATAATTGACAAAGCCTCAATGCTATCATGCAAACCAGTTGTGATAGTTTTTGTTAATGTTGAGGATTCAGAACACCCTGCAACCATTTTTGTTGAGCTTGTGAAATTGGACAAACAAGATGCGGAGACCATATGTTCTTCAGTGATGGGAAGCTTACATAAAGTTAGGTTTACAACGGAATATCTGCAAAAGCATTTAATAGCATTCTGCTCCGATGGTGCCAGCATTATGCTTGGGAGAAAATCTGGATTGAGCACCAGAATAGCTAAAGAGTTCCCAAACATTGTAACCTGGCAGTGCTTGAACCATGGCCTCCAACTTGTGCTAGATGACTTCATAAAGGACATCAAGCAACTGAAAGACTTCAAAATATTCATTGACAAGATACACACCACTTTCTATAAATCCTGCAAAAGCCAGATGGAACTTTTCCAAATCTCTGAACAACTGGGCATTGAAATCATGAAGATTAGCAGAGTTTTGGGACCAAGATCAGCTGCCTGTAGTTTAAGGTCAACCATAGCTGTGTGGCGTGCTTATCCAGCGCTATATCAGTTTTTTCATGGAAATGAAAAATACCCAGGTATGGCTGCCCGTCTTGAAAATATACATTTTTTGACTGATTTGGCCCCAATGATTGACATTCTAAATGAGATTTCTCTTCTGTCAAATGCCCTGAAAGGGAGAAATAGACATCATCAAGGCCGAAAAATTTGTGCTGAGATCAATTAAAGCATTTGAAATGCTTAGACGGGGAAAGGGCCCATACGAAAAAAAGACAGAATGATAACTTCAGAAGCCTTCCAAAATATAAAATTTGTTCAAAATCAACTATTTGTTGCACTTCCTTGGGAAAAACGTTTGGAAAGCATCATAACCAATTTGAAGAAAAGACTGATGGATTGCGAACATCTAAAAAGAGCTAGCCAATTGCCAGGCTCAAATAAATTACGATTTCTCACTTATTTGGAGTCAGATTACTGAAACATTGAAGATGTAGTCATTCCATGGCCAGAAGCAGAAAGAGAATTGATTGAATTTTGTGAAATTTTTAATTATGAAATTAATTTGAATGACTACAGGGATTTTGTGGAAAATGTACTAAAAGATTCAAAGAACTATACAATTCCTGACAGTATCAAGAAAGCTAGCGATATTGTCAGGACAATTGCTGTGAGTTCAGCAGAGGCGGAAAGGGTTTTTTCAAAAATGAACCTCATACGTTCAGAACAAAGAACCCGCCTAACTATTCCAAACCTTAGCAATTTGATGACAATTAGCGTGATTGGCCTACCTGTAACAAAATGGGACCCATTTCCTTCCATCAAAAATGGCTCAGAGCACACCATCACACGGCCGATGAGCCAAGAGTGAAGAGTAAGAAAAGTGCAATTGAGGAGGCCGCAAACAAAGGAACGATGTGGAAACATCTTAAATCAAAAAACTACTAACACAAATAAGTACTTGAGTGTATCTCTTTCGTTTTGTTATTCTTATGTAAGGTGTAAGTGCATGCAATTAAAGACTTCCTTTCTGTATCCCTTCTTTGTGCAGGTCATTCATTGGGGCAAGGTGGCCAGTGATTTTGAAGACAGGCAAGACAGCCATCTTTCTTCTGTAAGTATTAGTGTGTAGCTGTTTTATTTTGTGTTCTGGTTTCATCCTTATGTAGTGCATGCAATTAAAGACTTCCTTTCTGTATCTCTTCTTTGTGCAGGTCATTCATTGGGACAAGGTTGTCAGTGATGTTTAAGACAGACAAGACAGCCATCTTTCTTCTGTAAGTATTAGTGTGGATGTCAACTTGTAAAGCGTTGCCATGACTATTATCAGGTTGGCATTGGAGGGAGGATTCCATGCATACCTTCGGCCAGAGTTGGATCTCATATTNCCAAACCAGACAGTTATGGAGGTGCAGATGACAGACTCAATAATTCCTCTGTGGAACTGGATCTGCAGATATCCTAGAGCAATGCAACTAATGAAATAATCAACGTTACTTGTCTTACAAGGCTTACAATCCTTCTTTTTCCTTAGGTCATCTGAGCACAGGAATGTCACCCTCTTCCCTCCTTTCTTTTTAGATCTTATCCAAGGGGAAAATAATCAAATACGGGACTCAGGATAAGATCCAGGGCTTGTCCTATCAAGCTCTCACCCTCCATATAACCAAAGAGATGGTCCCTTCAGCCCGTCTTCTGGTCTACTACATCGTCACGGGAGAAAGTACCGCCGAGCTGGTTGCCGATTCAGTCTGGTTAAATGTCCAGCAGAAATGTGGCAACAACCTAGAGGTGAGCAGATTCGGCGGCGGGATTCAGCCGGTTCGCACCTATTTGGGAGAACCATTTGTTAAGTTTCTGAGCAGCTGAGAGAACCAGCTGTTGGGAGAAATCGCGGAGAGGCCAGGTGAGGTGAAGCGCCCCTCGACGTGAGCGGCATCGAGTTGGCCACGCCCACCCGGTCACATGACCACCCACCCATGCCTACCCAGCTGGTCATTAGAGCATAGAACCCATTGTTGAATTATTTGAATTATTTTCCCATGTCACATTTGGCCTTTGCAGGTCCGCATCCTGAAAAACGGAAGAGTTTACCAGCCTGGAGAAAAAGTGTCCCTTTCCATGACCTCCGAGTTTGACTCTCTGGTGGCTCTTTCAGCCATGGACAAAGCGATTTACGGAGTGACGGGAAGCAAGCAGAAATCAATGGAAAAAGTTACGTCCGGTCGAAAGGGAAACATGTGGCGTTCTTTGCGCAACTTTAGAGGTCCAATGGACTTCGGTTTGGGCACAGTCCCATCACATCATATAGGAGTGATGGCAAACCTTTTCAGCACTGAGTGCCCAAATTGGAATAGCAATAGCAATAGCAGTTAGACTTATATACTGCTTCATAGGGCTTTCAGCCCTCTCTAAGCGGTTTACAGAGTCAGCATATTGCCCCNGTGTAGGTCAGAGGTCTCCAATTTGTGTGGCTTTACGGACCAGCGGGGGGGGGGGAGGGATGGTTCTGAGTAAGTGGTAGGCGAGCGTGCACATGCACAACTCCATTTGTTCATGCGACATGCTTGCATGCCTGCTGCTTGCGCAAATGGAGTTGTGCATGTGCACGCTCGCCTACCACTTACTCAGAACCATCCCTCCCCCCCCCCGCTGGTCCGTAAAGCCACACAAATTGGAGACCTCTGACCTACACAACAGTAACAATGTAAGGCAGAAGACTAAAAGAGCACTTCCATGCACAACAACTAGCAGTTAGAAATTTGAAGCAGCCCTCTTTAATAATTTAAGCAATGCAGTTAAAAATGAACAGCAGTAGATGCAAGCATTTTGTATTCACTGGTCAGTACCAAACTTACAATAACATGGTTAAAAACAACATAGAACATAGGGTTTAGCAAAGAGTATTAGTTAAACGTGACAGATACAGAAAACCATTCCATGACACCTTACGTCCACGGAAGGCATAGATTGACATACAGGTGTTTCTGCACATAGAAAGGAGGCTTCAATTAATTGAACTGCTTCCATGAAATGGAGAAAACGAGAGTTCCTGTGGGTAGCAAAACCTGGAATGCAATGTTTGAATCGACTTGATGACCAGCTAGTATATGTCTCGCGATAGCAGGTGGTAGCATTTTGTGGCCCTGGTTTGTGGTTGGACTACTCTCTGTTTGAACCCATTTTGGAAAGTGCTCCTTCATTCCATGCCAGGCACCTACTGATTCTGCTGATGTAATTATCTCCAGTACAAACACATTAGTACATACAATGGGCTTTGGTGCTGATAGGTTGTGCTTTCTTGATTGATGGCAGTAGTAGCCTCTGGATTTGATGCAGTATGTAAAGCTCGGCCATACTGAACATTGTTTCAATCAAGGTATTTAAACATCGGGTCATCAGGCACGATATTTGATCCCCCTTAAACGGCAGCTCAATACATACTTTCTTTTTACTGGCAGTTGAAATTCACAGTTTGGGGTCTCTTGTTTTGCTGTGCCTGTTGATGAAGCAGCTTGGGTAACCCTTTGAACAAAGAGTTTGGGTTAAAAATGCCAGTTTTCCTTTTAAACAGTCCTCAGTGTATACATAATTCCTGGAAACGTGGCCCTCTGACAAATCGGCCATCAACAGGCACACAGATATGAGCTACAGACCATTCAAAAGAGGCAATCAGCAACCCAAAAAGGGAACAAGAGGACTAAACATTTCCTTACCAGCAATCTAACACCCAGATGAGTAGAGAGTAATACATAGATTAGCATTAGGATTAGGCATTAATAAAAAAAACAAATAATGCCCCAAGCAAGCTGACAGTAAATAGCCCAACCAAGGAATTACCAAAACCACTCTCACGCACACTGACAGGACAAACCTTCAGAACATAAAATAAGAACAAACTCCAGTAGCACTGATGAGGTTATGAAACGTTTGCAACAACAACAAAAAAAACTCACCTCAAGCTTACCAGGGACTATCGGTATTGGACTGACGGCTATTTATTACGTCCCCGACAGAGGGCGCACGCGACCGGAGTACAAACCAAAATTATCACGCTGTCCTGTGCGCTCTTCCAGTAGCCCCGCCCCCCGTTTTCAGCAGTGACGCCTGCGCAGTGAAGCTTAATTAGCTCGGCCAAAGACGGCCTTGATGGCTAAGCGCAGAGCGGAGGCGGTGGCCTGTCGCGCGCCTTGCCAGCCGCGCTCCTTTCCGCGCGCGCCTCCTTCGAAGCGCTCGCGGAGCGATCTCGAACGGCGGGAGCCGCGAGACGCAGCTCTCTGGCGGGATAACGGCGGGGAGAAGAAGCGCAAATGGATGGTTGTCGCGGAAGGAGGCGACGAGGCGGGCGCCGGCGGCAAGAGACTCGCGGAAGGAACGGCGCGGCGGGAACCTGAGCAACGGCGTCCTGTAGCCGCGGCTATGGCGACCGAAGTGGCGGCCCTCGCCGGAGGAGATGCAACGGGCAGTCAGGGAGGACCCGAGAAGGTGAAGAAAGCCAGCTGTGCTTGGAGAGGGGGGACTTCTGGGAAACTGTAGTTTAGCGGTCCGTCTGTTGCCTCCAGGGATGCGCGGGCGGGCGAGCCACAGCGTCAGGCGGGAAAGCTTCCATAGTGGAGGACGGCGATGGCCTCGAGGAGCAATAAATCCGTTTGGGCTCTTCTGTCTGGGCTGCTTGAGAAGGGACGGTCGTTGAGAACGCCCTTGGGATTCCTTTTCACTTTGGCGACTCGGAATCTTTATGGATGCTAGTTGGTTAAAAGCAGAGGTCTTCAAACTTGGCAACTTTTAAGACTTCTGGACTTCAATTCCCAGAATTCTCCAGCTAACTGCTGGCTGGAGAATTCTGGGAATTGAAGTCCACAAGTCTTAAAAGTTGCCAAGTTTGAAGACCTCTGGTTTGATTCTTTGGTTGGAAAACTATTGGTGATTAACAAACAAAGGAATAACAGTGAGGCACAGCCTTGGCCAGTGAAGGGACGTTGTGGCCCAAACTTTGGCAAAAGCAGAAAGGGAATACAGTTAGTCCTCAGCTTTCAACCACAATTGAGCCCAGAATGTTCTGTTGCTAAGCAAGACGTCTGTTAAGTGAGCTTGGCCCCATTTTACGACCATTCTAGCCATTATTGTTGAGCGAATAACTGCAGTTGGTAAACTAATGGCACAGTTGTTAAGTGAATCTGGTTTCCCCATTGACTTTGCTTGTCAGAAGGTCGCAAATGGGGACGTCACATGACCCTGGGATACTGCGACCACCATAAATATGGATTTGTTGCATCTATACTAGTTTATTAAGGGCATCTGAGAATTTTTTTTTTNCCAAAGCCCCAGATGGAATCCCTGAAGAGTGCAATAGAGCAACAGAGGGAGGATTTTGACTGGACCACCTTTGCTGATGAAGACCCATCATGCCGCCCAAAAGAAAGGGGAGGAATGCATCCCTAAATTATATACCTGTACTCAAATTGTTTCTCTGTCACATAGGTCGCTTTCAGGAAGTGAGGGGAGCCAGATGTCAACTTGTAAAGCATTGCCATGACTATTATCAGGTTGGCATTGGAGGGAGGATTCCATGCATACCTTTGGCCAGAGTTGGATCTCATATTTCTACAACCTTGTTGGTGAATGTGATTTATGACCCAGACAGAGGGGAGGGGATACAGGGGTAAAGTTCAGATGCAATTAAGCGGAGGTCAGTTTCGGCTCCGCAGAGATACATACCAGAATGTTGATCCTAATAAATGAATGGATTTCTTTTGAACTTTGTCTCGAGGTTTGTAAATTAATTAGGTCATCTTCTGGGAACTTCACATCATTCCACTGATTAATTTTCTCAATGTCAGGAAATTTCTCCTTAATTCCAGGCTGCTTCTCTCTTTGTTCAGTTTCCATCCATTGTTTCTTGTCTTATCTTCTGGTACTGTGGCAAATAGCTTGACTCCCTCTTCTTCGTGGCAGCACCTCAAATATCAAAAGATGCTATCATGTCACCCTTAGTCCTTCTTTTCACCAGACTAGGCATGCCCAGTTCCTGCAACTGTTCTTCATATGTTTTAGCCTCCAGTCCCCTAATCATCTTTGTTGCTTTTCTCTGCATTCTTTCTAGAGTTTCAACATCTTTTTTATATCATGGCAATCAAAACTGGAAGCAATATTCTACAAGTGGTCTTACCAAGGTATTATACACATTCCGTTCCTTCCTGTAGAATTATGAAACAATTCCCAGATCCAGAAATTGTTGACAAAATTGCTGACAAAACAAATCCAATCAAGATATATGTGATCAGTTGACATGATCATCTTTCATTTTAAATTTTGTATTTTACTGAAACTAAGTTGGATATTCGTAACCCTGAGATCCGAAACAGGGATCAAAGAACAAAGACAATGCTGATGAAAGTCCATGGAGAAGAGATTAAGAGATGGCATTATGGGCTTCTTATTTTATGTTGGTAAAAATGAGAATTTGGACATTGCAAACAAACTGTGATATGATTACTAATAATCAGGTCGGTGCATGTAGGAATAATATTTTCCGGTGCTCAAAATGAAGTCTCATGTGTGATGGGGTCTGTGTCATACTTCCTGACCTGAGCTCAGTAGTGAATCCCCAAAACTCCTGATATTTCACGGTTTCAAGCAGCTCCTCTTGCTTGACTTGGCAGAAAATCCTCTTACATGGCTCACTAAGATTGGAATATTTACTGCAAGCAAGAATGAAGCCATGCACAATTCCTATCACTGGTTTCCTACTATGAATGCAAAGATGTAGAAGATTTCAGCATTCTTAGGGGGTTTAAATAGCAAATATTTCATAAAATGACCAGTCTTCAAGTGAATAGTAATTGCATGGCTGGCTAGCAGTTATTATTAACTGGGAAAGCACTAGTTTTGTCTTGCAAACCTCAACACTCCTCCCAACTTTGAAAAGTGTTGTTTTTAATCCCTGCCTAGTTGTGCAAGATCAAGAAACCAACACTACTCAGATTTCTGCAATACGGTTATCAAATAACCCTATTTATCCTATAGGGATAAATGAGAATGCTGAAAATTCTAAGAAGCACTGCCAACCCTTATTTAAAGTCAGATACTTAAAAATGAAAACATTCTAAAATTCCTCCCTCCCTCCCTCCTCCTCCTCCCAAAATTGTTTACCATATGGAGTGGATTGCCATTTATGTTGTTGACTGTTGACTGTTTAGGTTCAATCTCCTTTCCACCTATGGAATTTGAGAGAATACTTTCAAATGAAATCCTTATTAAATCTCTGCATAGTCCTATAGGATCCCCAAAGTATAATTCCATCCCATCTGTTTACAGTATAAATGATTTATTTATGGAAAAGAAGCTAAAGGTTTATGACACCAGTTGGGCTGATTTTTTACCTTTGGGTAGAAATGTTAATTTTCACTGTCCTTTGTTAATTGATCTTTGCAGGGCCCTGACATTAATCCAAGAGGGTAAAGAATATCTATTCATGTTTGTAGCTTCTTGCAATCCAACTGGAGAAGGCTTCAAGCATACTGGGGCTGGAGGTACTTGAGGGATGATTATAAGTAACTGTGCAGACTGTTAGTAGAATTAGGTTTCTGGGGGTGCAGCTAACAAGTAGATTAGTTCAATAACTCAATAGTGAAATATTAGTGAAGTGGACGCAACAGCAACTGCATTTTCTGCATCATTTGAAAATGCACACCTTCCTTCTCCTGTCCTTACCACTTTTTATAGAGCGATATTTGAAAGCATCTGGTCATATTATATTACTGTGTGGTTCGAAAGTATTACTGCTTTGGACTGGAAGGCTGTGCAGAGAGTGGCGAGGACAGTGGAAAAGATTGGATGTTCACTTCCTTCTGTCCAGGACATGGCATTTAAGTATTGTTTGGCCAGGAATTGAAGTATTGTCAGGGACTCTACACTACTCCATGTCCGCTTTTCATTGTTGCCTTGCATTGTTGCATTGTTGCCTTCTGGGAGGAGTCTTTGAGCCAAGGTGGCGCAGTGGTTAAAATGCAGCACTGCAGGCTACTGCTAGATCAGCAGGTCAGCGGTTCAAATCTCACCGGCTCAGGGTTGACTCAGCCTTCCATCCTTCCGAGGTGGGTAAAATGAGGACCCAGATTGTTGGGGGCAATATGCTGACTCTCTGTAAACCGCTTAGAGAGGCCTGAAAGGCCTATGAAGCGGTATATAAGTCTACTGCTATTTGTGCTATCCGAAGCAGAAAAACTAGATTCTTTAATGGCTTTGCTCCATATAGCATCAAGCTCATTAGCTGTCAAGACTCTTTTTCCCATGTATTTTTCTATATATTCAAGGTTTTGGTGTCATTTTTGTACAACTTGACATTTTTGGTGCTGCTGGTGTTATTATTATCATCATTCTTGGGATGGTGACATTATTCGGTGGGTGATGTTCCTTCCTTCAAGAGCGGGACATTGGAATTTCATTTTAATGTGTGCCATTGTCAAAACAGGCAAATGACAATAAAGCTATCTTAACTTATGCCATCATCTTATCTACCTTATCTTACCATAGTGCAAGAAATCTCTGTACTAGTATGATGCCAAAGGTTTTGCCAAGGCAAAGGTTATTGCCATTGTGCTTCCTTTTGTGGGTTTAAGAATGTGCATGATTAAGGTCTAGTTGTTTTGAGTGTTGGCAGACTTAGGGATACAATAGCTGAACAGTTCTGGAAAAGTCTGTATCTCTCCAATCTCTTTAGCACTGCACAAAAATTTCAGATTTTTTTTTGTTGCTCTTATATTGTTGTTTCCCCATGGAAGGACTTCTAATTCTATTTTAAATGTTGTTTAACTGGATGTAAACAGTTCGGGAAAGGAAAATGTTTCCACTGATGTGCTTTTTCTACAGTGAGCAATGAAGCGATTAATGGTTATATGGACCACAAATAGGTAGAATGTTTTATATGCAGAGGTTGGTTCTCATATTTTTAATGTTTGTTTCAGGTATAGAGGATCATGGTTGATGCATTTATTCTCTTGATCTTTCCACATTGCCCTTTGAAATGCATGGCTTATCTTTTTTGCTATATTAAGAGACATAAATGTTGCAATTCTTTACAGTCAAAGCAGCTGCCAGAAAACCATCGAGGGACATTTCTCAAAATCCCTACAGCTAGACAGGCATATTCAAATCTCACAGCTTCTACACAGAAAGATAGCAATGTATTAATTGTGATGCTGAGCAAGGGATTTGCTCAGGTACAGGTTGACACATTATGCAGGCCATTTAGTTAACTAAGAATTATTCAAGGTAGAAAATTGAGATGTCTTGAGTGTTTTGCCCATAGCCTTTTTCCTGCTTTTGTCAGAAGCAGCTCAATAGATACATTCAAATTAGCAGAGCAGATTTTTCATAGGCAATCATAGAACCCCTCTCTTTGATAAGTTTCCATCTGTTACTCTTGCCCTCAGGTGTTTTGGAGAATAGGCTGTCCCCTTTGTCTTTGTGGTAGCCCCTCAAAT